TGACTAGGCCACATACACTCCCATCACCAATTATCTTTTGCCCCCTTACTTGTCAAGACTTTATCCACCTGTAATTTAAAAATATTCAAAGACTCTTCTCCTACTTTGTTTATTTCTGGTCCCAGACACACCTTCCTTGTGAAGCAGCAACTAACCTACACTTCACTCAATTTTTTTTTACTGTACTTGCTGCTCTCAATGTGGTCATCTCTACAGTGGGGAGACAAAATGCAGACTGGGTGACTGCCTTGCAGAACAGCTATGCCCTGTCTGTAAAAATGACCAAGTTTTTTCAGTTGCCTGCTGCTTCAACACACCACTGTGTTCTCATCCAACATTTCTGTCACTGACCTACTGCAGTGCTCCAGTGAGTCTTGGTGTGAGCTGGAGGAGCAACACTTCATCTTCTGCCTAGGTACCTTACAACCTTCAGTCCTCAACATTGAGTTTAACAATTTCAGAGTGTTAACATCCTCTTCCTTATTCTTTAGCTTCCTCCAGACCCTTGTGTATGGGCTGTTCCCAGCATTTTCAACCATTTTACCCTTCTCCAGTAACACTTTCCTGGCATTTGTCTCTCTTTTTTGCTTCTCATCACCCATCTCTTTGTTTGTTCATCCCTTTTTCTCTCTGGCAGCATATCCATGTATTGTATTCTATTCTTAATCCTCCCTCCACCCCTCCACAAAACACCATTGCTGTTATCAACATAAATAACACCAATCCCCAACTATTTTCCTTTTTGACAAAGGACCACTGGACTCAATGTTAACTCTGCTTTCCTCTGTGCAGATGTTGCCAGACCTACTAGGCTTCTCAAGCAAACTTATTGTTTGTTTCAGTTTTCTAGCATCTGCAGTTCTTTGTTTTTACCAATCTAATCTATCTCCTCTGACCCACTTGCCATACAGTTACATCCTTCCTTAAGCAAGGAGATCAAACTGTACACAAGATTCAAGATGTGGTTGTACTAATGCCTTATATAACTGAAGCAAGAGAGTTAGGCATAGAGCTGTACAGCATGGAAAGAGACCCTTCCGTTCAACTTCTCCATGCTGATGAGATATCTGAAATTAATCCAGTTCCATTTGCTAGCATTTAGCACATATCCCTCTAAACCCTTCCTATTCATATGCCCATCCAGCCTCCACTACTTCCTCTGGCAGCTTGTTCCATACATACATCACCCTCTGCATGAAAAAGTTGTACCTTCGGTCCCTTCTAAATCTTTCCCTTCTCCCATTAAACCAATGCCCTCTAGTTTTGGACTTCCCCCACCCCAGAGAAAAGACCATATCTATTCACCCTACCATGCCCCTCATTACTTTATAAACCTGTATAAGATCGCCCCTCAGCGTATCATGGTCCAGGGAGAATAACCCTAGCCTATTTAGCCTCTCCCCATAGCTCAAACCCTCCAATCTTGGCAATTCCCTTACAAATCTTTTCTGAACCCTTTCAAGTCCCACAACATCATTCCTAAAGCAGGGAGACCAGAATTGCACACAATATTCCACAAGTGGCCTGACCAATGTCCTGTACTGCCACATCATGACCTCCCAACTCCTGTACTCCATGTACTGACCAATAAAGGCAAGTGTATAAAATGCCTTCTTTACTATCCTATCTACCTGTGACTCCACTTTCAAAGAACAAGCACTCCAAGGTCTGTGTTCAGCAACACTCCCCAGCGTCCTTACTTTTTATATTCAAATCACCTCGGAATAAAGGCTAGCACCGCTAATCTTCTTGATTGTGTTGTACCTGAACACAAACATTCTGACTCATCCATCAGAACAATTAAGTTCCTCTTCAGCTTGGAATTCCACTTTTTCTCCCTTTAAGTAATACACTCACTCATTATTATCCACTGATTCACTACTCCTGGATCTATATACTCATGAGGTCAGTCCCAGACTCCACTTTATTTTCCCATTGACTTGTCTGACCTGATCTCTCAGCTCTTGCATTGAAGCAGTATCTGCAGATTTTTTTATTATTTGCAGGAAGTCTGTGCCCCTACCCCTCTGGAAAATGAGGATTTGGTGTCTGGGGCTTGTTTGTTTTGGAAAGAAGAATGGAAAAACTTCATATTTTCCCCATGTCATGTTCCATCTGCCAGATTTTTGCCTTGCTCACTCAATCTGTCTATATCTATCTGCAACTTCCTTTTGTTTTCTTCACTTTTTTACTACCGATCTTGGCATTGTCTGCAAAGTTAATTACATGCTTCACTTCGGTCATCTAAGTCACCTGAAATAAATTGTAAGAAGCTGAGAACCCAGCACACATCTCTACAGGATTCCACACATCACATCCTGCCAATCAAAGACCCATCTGTGCATATTGCCTGCTAGCTGACCTTCTATCCATGCCAATGTGTTACCCTCTGGATTAATGCTTTTATTTTACACACTAACCTTTGATGTGGGACTTTTATCACTTGACTTCTGGAAATCCAAGTACAGTACATCCTACAGGCTCCATGTTCTCCAGTGTATCTTACTTCTGCTCCATCTGCCAGGTTATTGCCCACTTACTCAACCTGTCAACCTCTGTCTGTAACTTCTGTTTGTTTTCTTCAATGTATTTCCCTATCTATTTTTGTGATGTCTGCAGGTTTAATTACATACCTTCATGCCCTTCAAAGAATTCCAATACATTGGTTAAAGATGATTTCACTTTGACAGAACCATGATGATTTTTCCCAGCTTCCTTGGATTTTTTGCAGTGTGCAGCTATAAATTCTTTAAGGATCGATTCTAACACATTCCCCCTGACCAAAATGAAGCCAACTGGCCTGTAGTTTCTGGTTTTCTGCCCCCTCCCTTTTTGTATAGTGGTCAATATTGCTGCTATCCAGTCTATTGAAACATTCCTTAAATTGAAATTTTGGAAAATGAATTCCAATACATCTTCTACATCATTAGTCACCTTTTTATAAAACACTAAGGTGAAGCCCATCCGCACGAGGGGATTTGTCAGGTTGCATTTCCAACTGTTTGTTCAGTACTTCTTGTCTCGTGTTTGTAATTTCACTAAGTTCCTCTCTCCCCTCTACCTCTTAATTTACAACCATTACTGGAATGCTTTTTTACCCAATGCAGAGAGGACAGTAGGAAAATATTTGTCCATTTCATCCACCATTTCCTTATTATCTACAATTAACTCATCATTTTCAGTCTCCGGATGACCAAATCGCTTTCCTTTTTTCTCTTTAAATACCTGTAAAACCCTTGCCATCTTGTTTCATTCCTGACTAGCTTTCTCTCATACTCTCTCTTATTTTTCTAATTGTGGAATGCTTCATTGTAATTAGAGGTATTCTGAAGTAGAAGCTGATTCCACAATTGTGTGAAAAACACAAACTGCTTTTTTGTTGAAATCTGTTGTAATTGTTTTGATGGCTAAGATGTCCTAGTAACCAGGCCTCCTGAGGCAGGCAAAAGACCATTGCAATTCACAAAGTAAACAATAGTACAGCACTAGATGGCAGTATTGAAACCCAAACTGGATTATCACAAACACCTCACGCAAATGAAATAAATTCCATGTCAATTTTGAATTGCATTTTGCAATCAGTATGAATAAACCATTTACAACTGCTTACAGTATGTATTGTCAATTTTCCTCTCCTGATTATAACTGGTAATGCAATACCTGCCTATAAGCTTGTCATAGGGTAATGATTTTTTAACCTAGTGCAATAAATCTTAGCTATAAGTTTAAGTTGTGGGCAGACAGTGCATCTTCCACGGTTGTAGTTTCTTTCAAATGAAACCTGGCAATTCTTGTGTGCTCTTTGACATATGGTGTGGTCCTGACTGGTAAAAGATACATCCACAACATCAATGCCCTCTGCCTTCAGTGACCCTGCACTGCCTCTAGGGCACACATACCTGGCCTCTGTACCAAACCAGATGGCATGAACATTATTGAGCCCTCTTCTTCCAGGTGATTGGGTAGGAGCTCATGGGGATGAGTAGCTATCCTTAATAGGTGCTGACCCAATGGCAGTAACCTAATTAGCAATAAGAAAGTAAATTAAATAGGCAATGAAATGATTGCAAACCCAGTGTAACTGTGCTTTGTAAATGGCTGATTCATGTTTTTGTTAGTGCAATGTCATGGTGTCCATCAAACCTGGTTCCTGTGTTTTAATTTGCCAACTGTCACTTACTCTGCCCACCCTGCACAGTGATTATATTTTTACAGCCATTTTCTAGTAGCACTTTCTCTAACTAAAGGGCAAGTGATTGTTGGCAACATAGATTATGCTGGGCACCATCAGCATAAAGGCCCACCTTGTCACCATGTAACCCTTGTGTCCCTCAGAGCCTCGATGCCCCCTGTTACCTTGCATTATCCCCAAGTCCATTTTGACCCATCCTAACCTCCCTCACCACCCCCATCAACATTCTTAACCCCATGCCTATAAATGCCTCTGCTTTTGCCTCCCAGCCTTGACTCTCCCTTCTGTTGTTGAATCTCTAC